AGACAGAGAAAGCTACAAACGTATGCACAATAAACATGTTATCTTTGAGCCAAAATCAAAAACATACAAAGAAAAGTTGAAAGAATTAGAGAAGTATCAAGTATTCAGAATACATTTACAAGTTTTTAAAGAAGTCTATTACTAATTTGAGTTTGAGTACATGGAGGCCACAAGTTTAAACAAGAATCCTGCCAACAATTTGTCCTTTCTTTAGCTGATGAAGAACATTAGAGACTTTTCCCAAGGCTAAGTCCTAGGTACAAAGTTCCTTCTAGAAAACGTATCAGTGAAAACTGTTTTCTTAATTGTATACTGTCTTACATAGAAAGGTCAATGTTAGTATTAAATGTGTTCCTTTAGCTTCTTGTGCCTCAGACATTCTGGAATGAAGAACCAACTAGCAATAATTTTTAACGGACGACACGGTGGGTCGAGGATGAATTCAATTATACTCCTGCTTTACTTGCTTGCTGACAGATTTCTTGGCTCAGTCAACTAATAACAGTGAATTTGACTGAAAGAATACTAATAGAATGGAAAATCAATAAAGAAAACTATTAAGCGGTTGTCATCAACACTGAAACAAACATGATTGTCTGTCGTCAACTTGGCATCACTGCTTTCCTTTTTATGATCTGTGCATCTCAGAGGAGAAACTGAGAGCTATAGTTCCCAGAACCCCATTTCCTAGATGGTTCCAGATTAGACCCTGCCAGCAACAGGCACTTATGTGACGTCGGAAAGCGGAGGAGCAGAAGCTGTTCTCCCAGGGCAGTGACAGATAGATGTGTGAGCCGACAGGAGACATGAGCTTCACAGTGCTTCTGGATGAGTTCCAGCAGGTTACCTTCTTTGGTCCTCTAGACAATTGAGATGGCTAGTGGTGGCTGCTTGAAATTATTTGTTTGGTGCTGCGAGCTTATACAGCTGGTAGGAGCTTCCTAGAGTTTCTTGAGAGAAACAGAGGCTTCCAAGAAAGTTCTCAGAGCCAATCACCTTGGCAATGCAAACTGAGATTATTGGCAACAGCTTCCCTGATCTTTAATCTCCCAAGCCTTCTAATGACTGTGGAAGCCTCTAATTCCCATATTAAAATCCTTCATACTTAGTCTACATAAAGTAGTTTCTTTTTTTCTGTGTGAACTTTGTTTAATACAAATATGAAGTTTACTATGCATTGCCCATATTGTTTGGGCAGGGTTTTCAAAAATTACTAGAGTTGTAATATAGTAATAGAATTATTAGCCCAAACTAACAAAGGATATTACATAAGAGAGATGTTCAAGCATGGTAGAATAGGAACTCTAATGATTAAAAAGAATGTTTGAACAAAAGAAAGCCTGAAAAACTTTTCATGTAAAAATATTATCATAGCAGGCCTTACAAAACTGAATACTGGCTGCTTTCAGAGAAAGTAACTCATTTGATAGAATCTTCTGAATAATCAAAGTGATATGCCTCTAGAACACAAATGTTTCATAGGTACTGTGTGCTAAATATTCTCCATCATTCTATTACAGATGTAAACTTTTAACTTTCTTGATCTGTTTTGTGAAGTGCTTTCTAGAAAGATTCTAACAATCCTTACTCTTACTGGCATTGTTTGAGAATGTCCATTTCATTCTGTCCTTGCCTACATTATGATAATTTTTTCAAGTTTTTAACTAGTAAGATTTCAAATTACTTTTTTTAAGGAAGATTTTTAAAAAGTTGTTCCTTTGGCTTTGAGTATCTGGCATTAACAATATTGGTCTTATCTGGGTAAGAAAACACAAATCTAAAAACCAGGAAACATGATATTATTCTTGGTTCTGTCACGGATTTTTCAATCTCGCCAAATATTTATGTTTTCAGTTAAAAAGAGGACTGTTAGGGACTGGCCCCATGGCCTAGTGGTTAAGTTCAGTGCACTCTGCTTTGGCAGCTCAGGCTTGCAGGTTCGAATCCTGGGCGTAGACATACACCACTCATTGGTGGCCATGCTGTGGCAGTGACCCACATACAAAAGAGAGGAAGATTGGCACAGATGTTAGCTCAGGGACAATCTTCCTCAGTGAAAAAAAAAAACGGACTGTTAGCCCCGGATCTTCTTTCTCAAAGTAGCAACACTTTAACAACAAGAACAGAGAGAAGCTGATAAATTTAAATATGCTAAATTGACAGTGAATATTCCTTTGTTTATTCCTTGGTTCTGTGTTTGTTTTGACCCACTAGAGGCTACGTAGGTTTACAGAATTACTGACTCTAGAGACTTCACCCTCTGGTGGGGCGTGCAGACTAGCAAGCAGGTGACAGCACAGCTCTGCATGTCTTCATCCAAAGCACTTGGGCTACAAATGTTTCAGAACCAACACTATTTGTAGGTTTCTAGAAAGGTAAAACAATACCTGTTACATTTAATATGTAACACCCGTGATAGAACCTGGAGCGGCATCTTATAAACAAATACAGCAACATTTCTGTAGTAAAAGATAACATTATAAATAGCCTCATGTCAGTTCAGATCAGGCTTTGCTGCCAAATAAGTTTTGGCACCAATTGTAAAATAAACTTTTGGTTTTCAGAGGTTTTTGGATTTTGGAATTGCAGATAATGGACGGTGGGCTTGAAAAATAGTGTCACATATTCTAGGATGAAGGTAAGAACAGAGTACTCTGTGAATGTATAGGTATGGGACCCAACCCAGACTGGCAGGGAGCAGAGGGTTGGTAGAGAGAAAATAGAAGTTGGCTCATAGGTACCAATGACATTTTAAAAATGTATTCTGTTATTGTTCCAGGGAGCTGTGAGAGGGGTGGAGGAAGAGATTATTGCCTGATGATGAACTTTGAGAGACTGCTTTTGAGTTTTCTTACTTTATTGCTGTGTTACAAACTGTCAGATACTACTCGTTGTGTTACAAAGTTAACAATGAAAATGTTATTGTCTGGTCTATTCAATTCACCTACTAATAGAATAAAAATTATTGCAGACAACACATTAAACAGCAGTGTCTTCATTAAACACTCAACTATTTCTTGGAAAAATAGTTGGAAAAAATTATTGGAAAAAACGTTGGAAAAAAACACTTCTCTCTCTCTATGCTATGTAGACAAGGAATGAGACAGCAACTTACACATAAACTTGGGCAGGAGTACAAATACAAAGACGCTCTATGAGGATTGCAAACTTGATGGTAAAGGGCAGGAGGGGCATGAAGGACAAACACCAAAACTCAAGAGAGATGGATGGAACAAATGGGCCAGGCCAGTCAAGAGCTTATGCTGAAGATGCCCCATGGAACGGAAGTGTATGGAAGGGATATTAATGTGGGTCCAGGATATTTCAATGTGCGAAATATTTGTGTGCGAAGAGTTACTTCTAAAGTTTGGTTTGTTTAGTATTTTTAACATTCTTTTTTCCCAATCTTACTTGCACAAACTATTTGCACTATATTTCAAGGTGGGCTTTACCAAAAAAAATGCACCTGGTCAAGTTATACATTAATCAGTCAAAAGTACCCATTGAGAATCTATTGAACAAGTGATCAACACATAAGAGAAATCTTGAGAGTAGTCATTAGAAAATACAATCAAGGGAATTTAAACCAATATGGTTTTACTATATTGTCTTATCATCTTATTGGATGTCAAAAATATTTTTAAAAAATCCTAGAAAGCTATAAAACAGTTTAGTAGATACACGTTTAAAATATTTAAAGGCTTTAGGGAATTCACTGGTCTCCACATTGTAATGTATTTACAAATACAAAGTACAAAACATCAGCTATTCATTTTTCCTAGCTGAGACAAAGTTAGGACACTGAATATTAAAACTTCAAAAATGGTTATTTGAATTATATTATTATTATTATTAATTGTTTTCTTTTTTTTAGTGAGGAAGATTGGCCCTAAGCTAACATTTGTTGCCAATCTTCCTTTTTTTCTTTTTCCTTCCCAAAGCCCCAGTACATAGTTGTAGATCCTAGTTGTAGGTAATTCTAGTTCTTCTAGGTGAGATGCCACCACAGCATGGCTTGATGAGCAGTACTAGGTACATGCCCAGGATTTGAACTGGCAAATCCTGGCTGCTAAAGTGGAGTGTGTGAACTTAACAACTTGGCCACGGGGCAGCCCCTGAATTGTATTATGACTATGCAAACCAGAAGAGCTTGGCTAAACATGAAAAATGCAAAGTCTGTTTCATTTCTTTTTTTTTTTTAAAGATCGGCACCTGAGCTAACATCTGTTGCCAAACTTCTTTCTTTTTTTTTCCTTCTTCTCTCCAAAGCTCCCAGGACATGGTTGCATACTCTAGTTGTAGGTCCGGTTGGCTCCACTATGTGGGACACTGCCTCAGCATGGCCTGATGAGAGGTGTGTAGGTTGGCACCCAGGATCCGAACTGGCAAAGCCCCGGGCTGCTGAAGCGGAGCACATGAGCTTAAGTACTCGGCCATGGGGCCAGCCCCTGTTTCATTTCTTGTTCCTTAACTCAAACACTAACCTGAGGGCAAGGACAGAAAGGCGGCAGCTGATGTCCTTCCCCATTTCCTTCGCATACACCCTAAAAGAAGGTGGACCCTAATTCTATTAGTCTCTTCATTGCTTCCCATCTCTAGATAAAATATTCTCCTAATTGGGAATTTATTTCAATGACAATTTTTTAAAAAATCTATTCCGTATAGAACCTAATTTTCCTGAGGTAAAGTTGACATAAACCCTTGATTGTGAGTACATGGGGGGTAAGGAGCAATTAAATTCCTCCTATGTATAAACATGGGATTGCTCTCCCCCAAATAACCTTATATTTGAAGACTGTTACAGCTCTGCAAGATAGGTTTTAAAGATTAGGAAAATAAGGCTCAGAGGTGGAAAAATTTAGTCCACATAGGAGACCAGTTTGCAGAAGGCCCAGTCAGAGCCAGAATCCAAGATTCTGGACTCCCTGCGCAGTATGCTTTCATACCATATACGGTGAGAAACCCATTTTCTTGAATGCATTCATTCATTCCCTCATGCCTTCATTCAGACAAATATTTATTGAGTAGCAATTTAGCATTTATTTAGTAGTATCTACTAAACATCAGGCACTGGCCCAGGGGATACAGCAGTGAACAAATCAGACAACATGACATTTCTATGTGGTTAAGTATAAAAAAATCTTAGTAACGATAACAATAACTTTTTATTGAACACCTCTTATATTATAGGTCCCATACTATGTACTTTATACATTAAAAACAGAATTATTCTTTCCAACAAACATAGTTTACAAATGATGGTTAAAGAAGTTAAATAACTTTCCTAAGGTCCCAAGTGTGGTGAGGGGCAGAGTCAGAGACCTTCATCCCTAAACACTTGGCTACATTTAAATATTACATAGCCACATTACATAGCCAATTAAATATTAAGCAGCCACAGAAGAGTGATACTTTCCTGAAGTTAAAAACTAGCTTGGAAGAAAGAGTACAGGAAGGTGAATAAAGGTCCCCTCTCCTTGTACAAAAGTCCCCTTTCCTTGTATGAAGATCCCCTCTCCTGATTGGTCAAGGTGTTCTTGATCTCTGGCAGGCATAATGAGCAGGACTGAACAGGGTCGTTCTTCCTTTCAGCTGTCGGCCAACTTCCAGCAGGTCGTCATCCATGAAGCCCTTTCCACTAAAAAATGGCTTGATGAATCCATTTTAGCAACACTTCTAGATTCAAATAACAACTTCCATTGGAAAGAAATTCAGCCCTACGAGCATTAATGAGAAAGGAGAACTGACGTATGTCTGTAAACCCACTAAACCAAATACAAAGAAAGACAGCAGTCTTTTTTCTTATCATGTCCTCTATTCCATTTCCATGAAAAGCAGTGGTACCTATAGCTCAGCAGAGGAGAGTTTGCGGTAAACTAGGAGGGACAAATCTCATAATGCCTGTAGGCCCACTCCCTTCCCACACTCTCTGTTTAACTTTGACTGGTGTTTTAACTTACTCTGAGACTCAGCTATTGAACACTCTGGCTTGGGCAGAAAGGGATAAGACAAAGGTGACATCAAACAGAATTGTGATGAAACTCCATATGGCTATCAGGGTAAACAGCTGAGTATCATAATTGTCTCTGTTCTGAAAACTTGAGCCTTATTATTCTGTTACTGCTTGGTCTAATACTTAAGGAAGAAAAGTATTAAAGTATCAAATGGACATTCATTAGGAACTACCGAAGAAACTTACATGTCCTGGCTTCATATTTTTTTGTGTGTGGTGTGATGGAAAAAAGCCCACTGCAATTCAATATGATATCATATATAAAGACAACAAAACTAGGACAGCCAAAGTCATAGTTTTGCAGTCTTACTCATTAAATAATGTATGTGAAATCATTTGGGAGTTCTAAAGAGTTTATAAACATGAGCTAGTGCTGTGAGAGAAACAAAATCAAGGGATATCCTAGCTGTAGCATAGAATCCACAAACCAGCCACTTACAGTTTTATGGAAATAAAGACCTGCAACAAAAATATTTGCACTTATACAGCATTTCTCGTTCTTTTTTTTTTTTTTTTTAAACTATACATGTTCAAGGAAAGAAATTCAAATACTATAATAGCATAAACTCTACAAAGTATCTTTGACCCCCAGGCTCTCAATTCTTTTTCTCAAAGGCAACCAGAGTTTCTAGTTTCTTATATAGCCTTCCATGTTTATTTCATGAATATATCTATTCACATTTATTACCTATATCTTTGGAATAAAAATAATTGTTCTCATCTGATAGTTTTCCTTTACTATTTCACATTTTGTAGATTTTGGTATAGCAATCACACCCCATTCTGAAAAATAAATAGCATTATTTTTTTCTCTAAAAATATTCAAGCAGAATATGAAGCTTCAATTTGAGGCACAGAAGTACATTGCATTATATTTACCATTTCATTCTTCACCGGGTGCCCTTAATGTGTTTCCCTGACTTACCTGGATGCTCCAGTGTGTACGGATCGGGGCAGGAGTGCTGTCTTTCTTGTTTGCCCGCTGGAGAACCTTTGGACGACTCAGGACCTCCCCTCGGGCTAATGGCCTTTGAAAATGTGTTTATTTTTTAATGATAATCTAGTAGCTTTTGAGGTCTTTGGAAAGGATGAAACGCAACCTTTGGAAAGGAGGAGGAGGAAGAGGAATCTTTGAAAAATAAAGATTTGCCGTATTTGTAAGTTATTGATTTTATAATTTAATGTAAGAAAGGGCAAAATGCAACTGCTATGATTGGTTAAAATAACAGATTACATTTACACTTAGCTGAGGTATTTCAGGGAAATGTGCACAGAGCCCTCTGACACGGGACTTCCTCTTACTCCAATGTCTCCAGTAGCCCCCCTAAAACAAGATGCCCATTGACCTCATTTGTTTCTGAAATAGCTATTGTTTTAGAAAATGAAATTGTTTGTCACTGAAAACTTTTTACTACATAGCTACATAATGAAAACTGAACCATCAATGTACATAAAACATATACACACAGTGAGTTCAACTTAAGAGTATTTCCCAAATATTCATAGAAGTTGTTTGGGATCAGGCAGACAAAAGAATAACTAATTGAATTTTTCCCTTTTCACCTAATTGTTTTTGGTTGTGGAAAGACATAGGCAAACATGGCTGAATACCAATCATTCATTCTCTACAGCTACACTTAAGAATTCACCCTGCACAGAGCGTGCTACAAGAAAGAAGCTCATATTGACATTAGAAATAATGCTTCTGGTGATAACGTTTTAACTGGAGAAAAGAATTTCTAGGATCCTGTAGAGCTATTTGGAGAAAAAGAGGAACTGAAACATGGAATGAAATGGAGTTGGTCAGATCCATAGGACATAGGATGAAAAAAGATCATGGACTCAAACAAATATAAAACAAAAACATGAAACTACTTACAATAAATGAAAGAGAAAAAAAGACACGGTCATACCTGAATTAAGATCTCTACTTCTTGATGCTCATATAAATCAAATCTCACACGGAAATATGCTAGAGAGCTAAATAGCTGCTTGGCTTCTGCTTTGCTCTAAACCAAAGACAGTGGACAGTAGTAGGGAAAAAGTTCATAATTACCGTTTCCTTTCTTTTATATAGTACAGCTCATTGCTTTTCACTTCTTAGGAGGAAAAAAAGCATCGGATTTGTGAGGGTTTTTTCCTCTCACCTCATCCCTGGACCCAGCTTAAGCTTTAATCCTCATCCCTTCAGAGAGCACAGTATTTGAATTCATTTCAAAGCACTGGATTGGTGCTGATGCGAATAGGACCAAAATAAAAAAAAAAAGAGATTAGTTATGCTCAGAAATGTCCATTGTAAGTACTGCAAGAACACTGAACCAACCAGCCAGCGTATATTGAAGTTGCCTACAGCTGTTTACAGGAAATTGTACAAAGCAAAGTACTGGAACATAGGGCATACGTCATAGATTTGAGAACGGAGCACAAAATTTCTGTGTGAAATAAATCAAGGATCTTCCAAAGAAATTCAGACATTCAAATATATATGCTTCACACACATACAAACTTAGCAAATAAAGAGAATTCCTTAAAACTTAATTTGAAAATAATATAAAAGTCTACTGTGCCAATTACAGGGCTCTACCCCTCTAAAAGATGATAATATGCTACGTGCTATGCTCATGACAGCAAAGAAAATTGTTCCAAAGATCTGACTGCTAAACACTTAAAAAAAAAAAAGTTCTTAAAATAATTACATCAGCATATGGACTCTGGAAAATTTTCTTCTATCGTAATAAGGTCAGATGGACATTTCCTGTTTCACATTTCTAGTACACACTGTCTTTTAGACAATAATAGTGTGAAACAATAGTTTGGCGTGAGTTCAGTGCATACTAAGAAATGCCCTGGCCCTTGAAGGCTGCGATGAGTCGGCCTCAAATGGCAAAGATCTGAATGACGACAAGAAAGGCAGACAGTGTCTGGGGAGCGGTGGCCTTAGAGAATAAGATTCAAGAAGCCGACACATCCCTGACTTCAATCTTTGATGTTTCTTGACAGGTGAAGAGCGCTTATTTTAATGTGTACATTTACACAGACAGCATTTAGACTTGCATCTGAAAAACTTGGCTTCTTTAAAAAACTGTTTACAAGGCAAAACTGCCATACAGTAAAAGAATGAGTTGGCAGTTCCCCTTAAATTGTTGACCAGGACTGGCCATTGCTTCCACTACCTAACCTCTGGCTCCTGCTCTGAACAGTCAGTCCAGGTGCTTCTCTGTCCCTCACTGAACTTTGCAACCCACTGGGAACCCTTATCCTATCTCTGGGTCTCATCATTACATTGAACACCATGAGACAGAGCCACCCAGTTCTGGGCCCCTCATAAACTTGGTAGGTATTCCGTCCATCTCCTCTGACACCAAACTGGGACCCTCAACAAGTGCTGGCATCAAAACAGCCTGTGCCAACCTGAGAATAATTGGGCTGGTCATTTCCAATGACATCTCTCATCTCTAATTTCCTGCCACTCAGTTAAGGAAAGGAGATGGAAAGAGTATTCTGAAACAAGGCAGAGGAAGCAGAGGGGTTAACAATGGAGCCATCATGCAGTCAGGAGGAGCAGAGTCTGAGATGAGAAGTTACAAAGCAGAATGAACGACAACAGGGGAAAAGGGTAAGCAACTGGGAGGAGGGTTGCCTTTCATCGGGTGCCAGAGAATCACAGGGAAGAGAGAGCTGGAAGTCAGGCTTGTCCAACCCTTCTCTCTCACTCCCCACATACAACTGATCATCAAGTCCCCCCCATTTTTTACTCTAAGAGATAAAAACACTTGCTGTTTTTTTCCCCAAAATAATAGTTTTATTTACTCAAAAATTTCATAAATAATGCACGTATTTTTAAAATTTTGAAGCAACATAGAAAGATACAGAGAAAAAGTAAAATTCATTTCCAATTCTACCAACCAGAAAAAAGTACTGTTTTAGAGGTTGGCCCCATGGCATAGTGGTTAAGTTCGTGTGCTCTGCTTTGACCACCTGGGGTTCATGGGTTTGGATCCCAGGTGTGGACCTACACACTGCTCATCAAGCCATGCTGTGGCAGTATCCCACATACAGAATAGAGGAAGATTGGCACAGATGTTAGCTCAGGACCAATCTTCCTCAAGCAAAAAGAGGAAGATTGGCAACAGATATTAGTTCAGGGCCAATCTTCCTCACCAAAAAAAAAAAAAAACAAACAAACCCCAAAACATTGCTTTTAATATTTTGTTGAAAAGCCTCATAGGTACCTCTCTATATACACATGCACATTCCTACACACACTTACAGCCAGTTTTGCAGAAAGTGAGGCATGTTATGCAAGGCTTTTGGTAACCTTCTATTTTCACTTAATAACCTATTTTCACTATCTCAATAAATATAGATATACACAATCATTTTTAATGGTTGCATAATATTCCATTGAAGAGATATGTCATAATTTAACAAATCTTTGATTGAAGGAAATAAGTATTCTTTTCAATTTTGACTGTAACTGACAAGCACTGATACTAATACTTTGTACATATATATGTGCTATTATGAGATCTTCTTTACTAATTTGATAATGAAAAATAGCTATCATGTTTTTATTTCTATTTTTTTATCGTTGGTGAAGTTTTAACATTTTTTAGGCCATTTATATTCTTTGGTGAATTGCTGCATCCATTTTTATATTCGGATGCTTTTTTCTTATTGATTCATAAGACTTCTTTGTAAATTAGGGATATCAACCCTCCTATCTTTCACATTATTCACATATCACAATTTTTTTCCAGTATGTCCCTTGCTTTTCAAACTTAATTTTATGATGTTTTTGCTGAAGCATTTGATTTTTACATAGTCAAATTTATCAATAATTTCTTTTTTGTTTTAGCCCTACTGATTTAATCTCCTAACATTCCGACCAGCACTACCCTAAACCAGATCCTTTATCATCTTTCACTCAAATAACTGTAACAATCTGAAATAGTCTCTCCTCTAGCCTCCAGTCTCTGCCTCCTGTAACCTACACTCCACACAGCTGCCAGAGGTGTTTTTTTTTTTTTTTCCAGAGGAAGACTGGCCCTGAGCTAACATCCATGCCCATCTTCCTCCACTTTATACATGGGATGCCTACCACAGCACAGCTTGCCAAGTGGTGCTGTGTCTGCACCCAGGATCCGAACTGGTGAAGCCCGGGCCGCCAAAGCGGATGGTGTGCACCTAACCACTGCATCACGGGGCCGGTCCGGTGTTCTTTTTAAAATGAAAATCTGGTATGAGTTTTCATACAGCTCTTCCAGGAGTCAATAAAATAACAACGGCAAATATTCCTGGAGCATTATTTATTTGTGAAGATTTACAAAGAAAGCAAGCATATTAGATTCACTTTAAGAAAAACACAAATATAATATGGAGGAGAAAACAAATTTCAAATGAATTTTTAAGATAAACTAGAAAGTTTCAAAGAAATATCAGTATTTAGACGGCAATGTTTAAAAGGCAATGGACATGGAGGATAAAGCTTAAGCTCCTGAACATGTGCGGCAAGGAGTGCCTTCCATTCACCAAAATCCATTGCCTTTTCCTCCTGATCACATAGATTTCCCAGCCTCCCCTGAAGTTAGATGTGACTGTGCGATCGCATTCTGGCTGATGGAATGTAGGAGAAGTTACGGTGATCATATGATTTATTGACTAAATCGGGATACTGGCGGGCCCAGGTCTCTCTCCCTCTTCTCTTCTCTAGTCTGTCAGCAGCTGCAGAAGAAGCTAGAAGAAGACTCAGTACCCTGGGTAGAGTCAGGGGATGAAAGTCTTGGGCTAAACTGTTCTGGGAGTGAGAACATCACTTCTAACATTTCAAACCATTGTTGGTGACAGCCATTCTTATCCTGCCTAGTATAACGCGGAGCAAGGCTTTCCACGGTGTGGCCTCTCCCTAGCTCTCCAGGCTGGGCTTTCATCACTCAAGCTGAATCTAAACTTTAGCAAACTGAACTGCTTGCTCATGCATTTTAAAATACCTGTTTATGCGTCGATCTCTCCCAATAGTCAGGGAGCTCCTTGATGGCAAAAACTTAGTCGTAACTATCTTTGTAGTACTCACTACCCGGCACACAATAAATTTCATGAATATCTGTTGAATGAAGAAATATTTAGTCAAGGAAGAAGTAAATCTTTCAACATTGGCTATTTCATGCCCAGAACTGAAACTATCAGAACCATGCATCACATGGAAGATCTTATATCTGCAGAGACATATAGTGAAATTCAAGATTTTGGAAAAATGAGCTACACATTTTTGTAGCCCTCAAATGTAAACGTAAAAATATTCTTCCTCCTAGCCTTCACTGCTCCTTTATCTTCACCTCCTCCCCGCCCCACATACAAACACACACACATTCGCTCATTTCCTGGGGGAATATTTGACTTAACTAACAATAGTAGAATAAGTTCGAAGGAAAAAAAAGAATTAAGATTTTAAATTCAGATCCCAGTGCTAGCCGATAATCCCTCCATGAGGTGCTTTGGTTTACCAGGGGGATTTACCTCTCCTGTTTCCCAAGATGATTAAGAGTTGATGTATAATTGAAGATGAGGTACACTAGAGCATGTTATCAACTCAGGAAAGGGGCTTTGCCTGCATGATGAAATTAGCATTAATGGTAGTTAAGCTGCACACAGAGCATAACGTCCTCTTTATTCTAGGAAATTGAGGGGCTTTCCCCACCTAGATTATGAAATATTGATTAATTCATGTATGCTCAGACGTCCATCTAAAAATGAAATCATCCAATCTGTCATTCCATTCCTCTCATCAGCATACAGAAACATAATGGCAGTCCTGAGCAGAGCAAAAGGAGTGATGAGGGGGTGGAAATGAAGAGAGAGGGTGAGAGCAGAGAAAGAAAAGCACAGCAAACAAAATGTGTCAAACTATGCCCACAGAGAGACACACAACACCCACACACACACACACACACACAACACCCTCTCTACTAATTAATGCAGCTTTGCTTTCACGCCAAATGTTAGGGAAACATTAATTAGAGAGAAATCTCGTCAATCCATTTCCCAGTTCATTAATTATGCATCAATGCCAAGTTTTTGTTGGCCCGACATAAGACAATCCTGTTGCAATAAAGATCTGACGCTGCACATTACACAACAGTTACGGGACTTTCCTCACTCTTTGGGATGGTATTCGGGAGCTACTCAATTCATATGTTGTATATGTTTCTGTCCTCTAATAAGTATTCTGTGATTACAAAATGTCCTTTAAGCTGACCACAATTGTTTCTTAGCTAATACTTCACCCATCTCTGTCACAGACACATTAGGAATTCTCTTCAGCTAGAAAAAAAGCAATACAACACTGTGAATGTACTCAATGACACTGAATGATACACTTAAAAATAGACAGAATGGTAAATATGATGTGATGTATATTTTGCCACAATAAAAAAGTATTTTAAAAAGCAAAGGAGAATATACATGGATTTTTGAAAAAGTTAAGTTATAGATGGACTATAAATGTAAAAAAAAAAAAATGGAAGCTTCCAAGTACTGAAGAAGTCTCAAAAGGCTTCAGAATGTATTTTCTTTTGTACAGAGAAAATATTATGTGATGAACTTCAGAGCCCAGACAAGCTCAAATGTGCTGTTTGCAAAGAGATTTGGGGGAAGCAAGGATGTTTGAATGGCCTCATCAACAAATATTAACTGAGCATCCATAAGATTCTTAGCACTATACTAGTTAGTTTGGAGCTATCTATATTTAATTTAGATTGTATTTAATCTAATCCCCTAACATATTATTTCCTATATTCCTAGCTCATTTCCTTATCAATGACTGGATGTCACTGCTGCCCCTGACCTACGTACAAGTAAAGGTTAGATTTATTAGATTGAGAATAGTGAGCAGATAAAAGTTATGGGCTGCCTCCACTGATGGCTAGGTCCACTTTTTCCACAGTGAATAAGTCTCACTTTTGTGGAGTTCTTCAGATCAATAAAGTGCCTCATGCTTAATAAATACCACAGTGTCACACACTCAGTGAGTATGCAGTAAATGTCAACTGACTCAGTAACCTTTCTCCAACTTTTGAGTCAAGATATCCAGCATTAAATGTCATCAAATCCTCTCTTCAAGGTGCACACTGATTGACCCTGGAGTTTGGAAAGGAATTTTCTACTCAGTATCACACAGCTGAATTTACTGCAATAGTTGTTGGGTAGCATCAACCTTAGGCAAGATTCTGGCCAATAAATTAAAAAGACTTTTGAAATAAGATAGAAAAAGATAAAATTGAGGCTCTTTTAAGAATTACTTGGTTCTTTGTCTAAGTTTTCACCTTGGAAATATTGCTGATTGATAACTTATTTAAATAAAAATAAACCATTAATACCCAAAGAAAGTTGCACACAAATGATTGTGAAATCCCTTTAGTCACTTTTCCTTAAGCTTCCTTATTTTAAAGTCTTAATTTTATCTAGAGTCTTTACTGAACAGGCTGATTGACTCAAATTCTCTTCTTCATTGTCTCTCTGATTGGGTACATGTTTATCCAATGCACTTTCTCCAGTGAGGGGGTTGTCTGCAATCAGTTCATCCTGCAGAGACCAAGGAAGAAGATAAGAGTGCTCTTGCCCAACACTGTATGATGTGGTTGAGAGGGAAAGCATCAAAGGTTATCTAAAGGAGAGACTGTTGGGAGAAGTATCCCTCAGTAGCCAAATGCTCATCAAAGCAAGGGGGGCCTAAGGTGGCTAATTAGATCCTTTCTGGGAAACCAAGTGGTCAGAGAACAAGATGCAGCAGCAGGTCCAAATGGGTGGGCTGCATTTTTGTATGTTTCTTAGCATCATGCTCTGTAAGCAGACCCGATTTATCCGATGAAGAGACCAAAAGGGTTGGGACAGATGATGTTCAAATACCCTCAACCTGGAGCAACTAATATTTGTGTAGCATTTTTAAGTTTCCCAAGAAGCTTTCCATGTATCATCTCAACTGAGCATTGAATCAATCCTGTGAGGCAGATGTTAATATTATCCACATTTTACAGATGAAAATAGCACAGAAGAATGTGATTCCACTGTAGAAACAGCATCTGGGGCTTGGCCTCCACTCATTGAGTCACCTAGAAGCCACTATGGCTTTGTCTAGGAGCAAGATTGCCTTGCCAGTTGGAGGAGCCAGACGGTGGGTATATTGCCTGCTGACCACCTGCTGACTGGCTAGCTAGAGATGCAGCAGTAATAGGAAATGCACTCAGGCTGAGAGGACGATGGGATCTGGGAGGTCTTGGTGAACATTTTGAGATCTCAGTTTCTCACTTAAGTGGTCCTAGAAGCAAGGCAGTGGAAAGTAGTGGCCGTCTGGAGTCGTGTTAAGTTGTCCACTGATCGATCTCCAAATTACCTTTTGTTGAAAGATTACTGAGTGATTTGGGGCATATGACTCAAAAGCAATCGAAAGAGTTTAAGGAAACGTTCATTAAAGAAACAAAAAAGCCCTCCTTCCAGAGCTATCTACTTAATGTATATGAATAAGGCTTCTTAGGATATGCATTTATAATATAAAAAGTAGAGATTTTATTGATGCTGAATCTGTCTCATTCCAGCAACAAGCAATAACTATTCATCAACAGACACACGAACTAATTGTAAAACAAAAGCCCCCAAACACAAGAAAAAAACAGAAGTAGAATTTAAAAAAAAAATTTAAAGCTTAATTCACCTTACGTTCATCTCACTGAGATTTTCTTTTAATAAAAGTATACTTATTTTAGGTCAAATAGTATAACTTTTATTTTGTTTTATTTTTGCTCAAGTATATGTTATAGCAATTGTAATGGCAACTCATTCCAGAAGAAGGTTGGGTCTCACAATGACAGGATATTTTTTTAATTTTAAATTTTAATTTATATAAATATTTTTGTTGAGGTGAAACATGATAGCATCATCAATAAAAGATGTTCAAGTATAAATATATACTACATTAAAATAAAATTCCTTGGGTGAAGTGGAATAGAAACATGAGTTTAAGGGAAAAAATGACATAAATATCTATAAGGAAAGATTAATGACTTACTTTTTAAATGGATGGTGGGGGTATTAAATTGCTATGGTATTTAGATCGATTAGTTACTATTTAAAAAGTGAAATAGCAGTTTTATTTTTAAGAATATTTACAATATGAAGGAAATTATATCCTCTGCGACTATTTACACTTACAATAAAAATTTTCAACTCTAACAATGTACAAGAGGAATGCATAATTTTTCAAAATTCTATTAGGCTGGATGTGAACAGGAAAATTTAAAGACCACTATGCTGTGAAAACACATCACTTTGTCTAATATTTGCATAAGAAATGCAGATATTTCTAATCTCTGCTGTAGAAGGCAGAAGACCATACCCTGAGCATACAAAACTGTAGCAATTCATTTCTAAAGCAAACATAACCAATGAAATATTCCTGTTTCAGCCAATAGCTCCTATAGCTGTGTGCCTGATTCTTCTGCAACTACATCTTCAAACTTACTGGCCAATTCCTCATGCATATCAGGCAAGAGATAAGAATGGGGGAAGCTGATGTAAAATAATCACACAATTTTGTGTGATTTGTAGTGATAAGCCACTATGTATGATAAATGATAATTTTCTTACATAATAGAGGAACACCCATATACATTGATCACATAATCCTTGATTCCCAACATAACTCACCTGGCTGACATGTGGGATTATCTCAGTTTTCCAGGAGTTGCTCCTAATGACTAATCAGGAAGTTACTTACCCTCATGGAACAGCATATACCTAAATAAAAAAGACTAGCATTGTACACAGGAATAACAACATGTCAAGCAGGAAATGACAATCTCTCTGCGTGTTTTAATTTATCTTTGGGACAAAGTGACAATAAACCATCAAAGTTAAAATGGAACTGAATTTTAGTGAAAATTCAGGGGGAAAAGTATTTAAAACAATTTTGCTAGGGCTAGTAGAACATGGAGTTCTGTTACAAAAGTGTTTGGAAAAATCTTTACAATCTAAACACATTGAAACTCCCTAGTGTAAAACACTCTAAGCTAAATTATGGGAAAAGCCAATGTCGTATCAGCACCGAACAATTGCCCAGCATCAGAATGAAAAGAAGGAAATGTTGTTCTGAATAGCTTGCCAAGGCTAAAGAAAAGTAGAACAGTTGCTGAAGACGGATTGGTTGTGAGTAACAGACTAAAAGGATGCATTCTAATTTGAGTTCGTCACTTAAATTTTGAAATAGCTCATTATCTTCAAACTTGCAGTTAATATAGCTGCATTAGAGAAAAACAGAGAGAAGGAAAGAGAAAGAGAGGGAGGGAGGGAAAAGGTAACTGTGAGAAATGCATTTTTATTTTTAAGTTTCACTCAATCAATACATCTTATAACCCATTATAGGTATATGAGTGCTATGTTTTCCCTTTTTAACTCTTGATGTGAGATAAAGATTAGGTTAAGTGATTAGGTTAACATTAAGTGTAAAAACTGTAAATCTGGATACCCCAATAAGTGATTAGCAATGTATCTCTCATGTAGTCTTTAGTAATCCATTTTAATCTTTGCTTTTAACAACTGAGTATGCAATGGAAGAGCTTCAATATCCAATGGAATAATTTTTAAGCAAAATTACTTGACAATTTAATGTCAAGCAGTGATCCCAACCTTTTTGGGTTTTTTAATAGTTTTTAAGCTTATTATAAGGGAACCTTTTTTAAAAACACAAAGTTAAAGGGAAAACTGTACTAAATCTCCATGTATCTATCATCAAGTTTTAACAATTACCAACTCATAACCAACCTTATTTCATCTATACCCCACCTACTCATTCCACCCCAGATTATTTTGAAGCAAATCCAAGATATGAGAGGATCTGTCTTTGTTTTTAATATGAAACATTTGAAGGCCCTCCCCTATCATATTGTAGTGGTGCATTTTCAATAATACTTGATTGAGAAAATCTACATATACACATGAATTACTGCCCACCCCACCCCTACTTCCTTGCTATGACTCTGTGCCACCCTCCCCACGCCCGGGCTCTGCAACCCACGGCTGGGAAACTCCTGGCATAATGAAAGTAGCTGGTAATATCACTTAGAAATGTGTTTATTTATGAGCACCTTTACGTATACTCACAACACAAATACTGCTTATACTGCTTTATTTCCCAGGAATATACTTGTCACTACAGGTTTACAAGCAGATTGGAAAAGAGTTATTAGAATTCTTAACGGAACTTTTCCCCTCTTTATTCACCAAACTGAGCATTTCTCTGCTAAAATAGAACAAAGAGCTAACACAGGCCATTGCTTTCTAAAAGTTATTACCCCCTAACAGCTGTTTGGGGGCCTTTATGACGTTGACATTACCTATGGAAAAAAGTCTAGATCCTTGTGGGCTGGAAATCTTTGCACAATACAGCCTGAGAGCTGGTACGCTTATTGGCAGTCTCCCCAAGGAGCTAAGGAACAAATGAGCAATGACTGTGTTCACACACTTGGAAATGACAATTCCACACTGGAAGTCTTGGTACACCCTGTAGGTTTCCTTTATATAAAAGACGAATATTCATTGCTATTAAGCCAGAACTTCTCTTTCATACGAAATTCACTTTTGTAGGTGCAAAGAAAAAGGAAAAAAACTTCTCTTTTCTCCATATGAGAGGGATAATTTCTTCAGTTTCCTTGGTAAGAGGCACTGAAAAAAATCTGCTGATTTCTGCTCAGTGCACGCATGGAGAACTGATTAATGCTAATGGGATTCACATATTTTAAAATGATTATAAATCTTTTTTGTAAATATCATTCAGAAAGTTTGTGATTGGAATTTATGGGTATGTATTTAATTCAGGTCAACTTTAAATGCCTAAACTTTTATGTTTAAATGAACAAAATTATCTCGATTAAATCATATTTGACACTGATTGTAGCTATATAAAGAGAAAAATTACACTAGTGTTACATTTACATTTTATTAGAGAACGGCAATCATTTCCAATTGAATTATTTTCCTAGTTTCATGGAATATCTTGTTTTGTAATTATAAACTTCTGAAAAAATACATCATCACTTAAAGATTTCAATTTTGGCTTTATTTTTCTAAACATGTCCATTGTGGAGCTGAGCAAATAGAACACATAAGATAACAAAGTCTTGCTTACATAGTAAAATGCTTTTCTAAAACATGGTTCAAACACGAAATGAGACAATCTAATTTTCAACCAGGGAAATGACTATCTGCTTAATATGTACCGTGTTAATTAGATTATGCCCAAATCCTAGTAGTTTGCATAATTGTATTTAATTTGCCAGAGGGGTCAAATTATAGCATTGGACCTCTACTAAGAGGTAATGCTGTTTAGTTAGCAAAAGCATATCATATTCTAAAGAAATTGAAATGCATTTGTAATTTTAGAATAAAATGTGGTCTTCTTTTCAGAGGCCCAATATGAATAGAAAAATCCCCAGAAATGCACCTGGTTAAATGTTTATAATCATGGAATATGGTTAAACATTAGTTAGAAGCTCATTTATTTCATCCCCTTCCAGTTTAGTGTCAATTCTTTAAATATATTTTCTGGTCGTTTAGCTAACCTGTCATTAAAATTTCAAACACAACTTTTGTCCACTACGTCTTTCTTATTATACTTCCCTCTCCTGGGATTAATAGGTTTTCTCTATATTAAATAAATTCTTTCACTCATCACCTCCACCTCTCAGAAAGAGAGTACTCTGTTACCAAATTTACTATGTTAAAAAAAGAAAGCAACTGAAGAAGAAATTTTGGAATTTATTTATAATGAAGAAAAGAGGATCACCAAAGTTGTATAACAAACGCTGTACAGGAATCTCAAGACTTTTTGGTAAAATAACATTCTTGCAGATTTCATGGGATGTTACTTTACTCTTGGACAAAAAGTGCCCAAGCCAACTTCGTGGGATTTGGTCTTCAGTAACTTAGCCTGCTCTGAGCCAGCTGGTATTCTACCAGCCACCCTGAAAATCATGTCAGTTATAAAGAGACAGATCTACCCTGAAATTGTGGATTATAATCTGAGTTTGGCCCAGTTCTGGGTTACCTCTTGGCGGATGTAACCCCTGTCCAAGTCAGTGATATATTCAAACATAGATTTTCACCGGAATCACTCAAGGTACATTTGACAAAATACAAATTTCCAGAAAACCAACCCAGATTTACTGAATTTGAATCTGAGAGGTGGGGGTTGAGACAGAGGTGGGATGAGGCACAAGCCAGGAATCAGAATTTATTTTCGTTTCCCAGAGGATTTTTTAAAAAAAGCTTTATTAAGATATAGTTTGCATAGCATACAATCTACCCACTTAAAGAACAGAATGCAATGGTTTTTAGTGTATTCACAGATATGTGAATCACTGTCTATCTTAGATCTCTTTTACCACCTCAAAGGAAACCCCTACTCTTTAGCTACTATGCTCCCATCCCCACCTTCAGCTCTAAGAAACCAGATCAGACTGTACCGATTTCCCTCTTCTGGACTTTCATATGAATGGGATCATACAATAGTGATCCCTTGCGACTGCCTTCTTTCCCTTAACGTAATGTTTTCAAGGTCCATCCAAGTTGTAGCATGTATTACTACTTCATTCCTCTTTGTGGCCAAATGATATTCCACTGTGTGGATATACCACATTTTGTTTATCCATTGGTCTTGTTGATGGACATTTGGGTCCCCAGAATATGTAATCATTAGCCGTATTTGGTAATTGTTGATAGAAGAGGACCAAGTGTTGATCTCAGGGCAGTTCCATGCTCTCCTCGCAAAGCAGCCCATGGTTCTACACTGCAGGGAGAGAAGAGAAGCTTGGCTGGGAAGGCAGCACTTGGGTTGGAAGTCTGGCTCTGCACTTAGTCATTTGGCCTGGGCAGTGTCTTCAGCTCTCTCGGACTCATTTCCTTATTTGAAAAATAGGAACAATGATTTCTGCTTCATAGAATTTTTGTGAGGATACATAAGACAACCTGAGTAAAGTGCCTAAAATTACCTGGCACACAGATATTTTATACATGACAGCTATTTTTCCTATTCTTTTTTTCCTTATTGAATTAAACCAAAACAACCATTTATATACAGATCATATATATATATATATATGTATACACAGATTCTATATATATTTATATACAGATTCTATAATATATATATTATATATACAGAGAGAGAAGCTGGATAGATTATTTCCACCTACAGAATAAATTATTATAAATAAATAAGCCTTTCCAATTTATAAGAAAGTAAAATGACAGACTAGAAAGTACAATTTCTTCACTTTTTTAAACTAAAGTCAAAGTAACAAGTAAAGATCCACTTTTTCACTTGGAAAAAAAGTACTTCCTTCTATTTAAGAGTACAAATCAGATTTTTCTTGTATCATTTCATTTTCAAAGTCTACATATTCCGTACACTCTGTGAATCTTCTGATAGTTCTACCCATGTAAGTGTATGTACGTATATATGTACACACACACACCCGCATGAACACACATATAATTATAGTTAACACTTACTCAACCCTTGATATTTGCCAGGAAATGTACTTTATGTGTATTGATATACTTAAACCTTCTAACGACCTTACATGGTCAGCTAAGGAAATTGAAGCATAGCGTACTCGAGAACCTTGCTCTGGATCATATGGCAAGTGAGTAGCAGAGCCCAAGCTCTTAACCATGACACCTGTAATAGTTTTTTCCTCCATGTGTTTATATATAAGACAATGGAAAAGATATCGTTCATGAACTATAGAATGATGTTTCTACAGCTCGGAGGAGCCTTTAGCGGTTACTAGTGAAATCCTCTTAACTGATAGATGAAAAGACAGAAAGCAAGGCATGAAGGGATAGTCCAACATGTTTAGTTGCAGTCTCCTGTCTTCCAATCTAGTCTCTTTCCACTCACTACACTGCCTAGGCATCAAAGTTTCACTTCTTTTTTAGAGGACATGCAATATAAGAATGTCAAGCATGTTTAAGCTACTTATGCTGCTGTGTCTGCTGTATCCTTACCTCATTCTCCTGGTGGAAAATTGCTACCCATTCTTAAGGCCCAGCTCAAATGTAGCCTCTTCCATGGCAATTCCTTTACTCTCATAAAGTTCCACCCTGGCTCCTTCCTTCTTGCTCCCAAAGTATGCTGCACACCCTACACTTACACACTTTGAACAGAGTTTAAATGTCAAAGCAGAGAAAAGCAGCACTGTGAAGTGCACTGGTTTTCAGACTGAGCTCTGTGGTGCCCCTTCACCAGACCCAGGACTCAAGAAGGAAGGGGCTCTAGGCTTCACACTCTGATTAATCAGAGCAGTTCTGCTTTTATCTATTTGGTTTATTTTCATTTCAATAATAAGTTTCTTGACAGTAAAGAAAATTCTTGAAAACCACTGGTATAATTGAAAAACCATGAGCTTTGGAGACACACAGGCCTGAGTCTGAACCCCAGTTGTACTACTGCTATCCCTTCTGTGTTTCCTTGGTTCAAATACTTAACCACTCTGGACTTCAGTTTCCACATGTTTCAAACAAGGAGAAGGCTGTCTACTCGGCAGTGCTGTGTAAGGGGTAAAGTGTGTGTAACAGAATAGTGCCTGACATACAAAGGCTCGATGAATTACTTCCCCCGACTATTTATTATAATTATTTCTTTATTTCCAGACTGATCTGTAAGGTCTTCAAATCCTTTCTGCCTAACATAGGGCCTAGCTCAAAATAGGTACTCAATGCGTGTGTACTGAATGGAAGCAAATGGAATGGGATGCTAAAATGAAATAGGATCAATATTGAGGTTAGAGATAGATTATAAAGAGCTTTGAATGCTATGCCAAAATTTTAACTGAAAATTTTGAATGATAGAGGTGTGATAATGTTTATTTTTTAGCATAACAGATAATTCTAGCGCAGTGATTCTTAACAGAAGGTGCTGGTTAGTTTGACTTAGTTAAAAATGTGGAATCTGAGTTCAAACCATGACTCTGTGACTTATTAGCTATGTGACTATAGCAGGTCACTTAGCCTCATTTTCCTCACCTGTAAAATTGGCTCAATAATAACACTTGTCTCAAGGATTAAATAAGTTAACATACATGAAGTACTTAGAAAATGTCTGGCACATAGTAAGCAGCATGTGAGTGTTATAACAACAAAAGAAGAAGGTTTGTTATCATTATAATTACATGCCCCGTTAAAGTATGTAAACAGGAGATTGCAGAATCACATGGGGTATGCAATGCAGGGTTCAGAATCATCTGGGATTCTTTTGTAAACTTAACAGAAGTACCATTAGGAGGCATTCTTACTTTTAGAAGTGTACTGGATTCCTCAAGTATGTTAGGACAAATAAAAAGTTGAGAATCTCCACTGTTCTGATAGCATGGAGGATGGATTATAGCGGAGAGAGGCTCCAGGAACGTAAATCAATAGTCCAGACCTAAGTGAAAAACGACCACCAGGTCGTGCTGAGATGCTGAGATAGAAATATCTGGATTAAATCAGATCCTCATTGGAGCCCATCTAAAAGTAACTTTGACCCCTTGAGAGGCCTAGAACTAGGCTGTTCCATTAGTAGGCTACTCCAAGGTTTGGAGTAAATTCTCCAGTGAGGCCATATACTTTTGGAGATTTGCTCCAGTTCAGCTTAAACATCTAGGGCAGTTTGTAGGATCCAGATGTCAGACAATGAAGTCAGGAAGCAAGGAGGCTCTTGATGCTGGCTGGCATAATGCCTCAATTAGGAAAAACCACTCGACCTTCTAACAACAGAAAATATCCTAACAACAGAAAATATTGCCAGGGGGCTTGCTTCACCATGGAGGCTTTCTTCAATTGGCTTTCGTTATCCACCGTGAACTAAGCCTTTTCAAGAGCTATAAACCGCCTACAGGGGAAATGTCTGGGAGGAGATTTTGCTGAAAAAAACCATGTGTAAAGCACAGTTCTCTTCTAGAGTATTATTCTGTGTCCCTCCCTCCTTGTGCTTCCTCATGTGTGGAGGGCAGAATAATGACCCCTCAAAGATGACCACGTGCTAATCTCTGGAGCTTGTAAATACATCATCTTACATGGCAAAAGGGAATTTGCAGATGAGATTAGGGTTATGGACCTTGAGTTTGGGAGATTATCCATCCAGATTACCTTGGATAACCCAGGTACCCAATCTTATCACATGAATCTTTAATAGCAGAGAATTTCTTCCAGCTCAGGTCAGAGAGAGATGCAACAAAGACTCCATCCACCATTGCTGGCTTTTAAGATGGAGGAAGGAGGCCATTAGCCAAGGAAGACAGTGACCTCTAGAAGCCAGTAATGGCCTTCAGTTTATAGCCAGGAAGAAAATGGGGACCTCAGTCCTTCAGCCATATGGAACTGAATTCTGTCAACCCCTGAATGAGCAAGGAAGTGGATTCTTCCATAGAACCAACAGAAAGGAATGCAGCCCTGCGGACGCTGTGATTTTAGCTTGGTGAAACCCATATGGGACTTCTTGCTTACAGAACTATAAGATAAGAAATTTGCATTGTGTTAAGCCACCAAATTTGTGCTAATTATTTATAGCAGCAATAGAAAAACTAACATTTTGCATTACTAAATTTTGGAATAAAAATGATTTCCAATAGACTGTGGAAAACACAAAACAATGCAATTTAAAACTACTTATTTTAAATTAAATATTAATCTCTCATTACTACTGTGTATGACTCTGCTTCATTTTAATTAGCTTATGAGACTATGGGGAGCTTTTAACTGTCATGAAATAGGTTCCTCTTGTTTCATGAAAGACATTCATAGAAGGCAAGCATATGCTTTTTCCCTCTTAGGTTAACTGAAATTAACCAAACAAATATCCAAATGTTAGAGGAATAGGATTAACCAAAAAAATTAATCAGGACAAAGATTATGATATGAAATAGCTACAACATGCATAAGCTTGGGCAATAACACTAATAACTCGATGACCTTGTTCAAAATGGTGACATAACTGGAAAAATCAAAGACATACAAGGGCACTGAAAAAAGTGAGGAAAATGAAAATTTTTAGTACATATGAAGAAATTAATTTTAAAAGCCATGCTTGGGAACTTCATGGGATTGTACTTTTTTTATTTCAAATGTTGCCAGTTCCTATTGATCTTCCTCACTAGTATCTCACATACCTGTGGATTACACCTTGTACAAAGAACTCTGAGATCCTATCCATATTTGGCTGATAAAGAATAATAAATATGATTTTAACTAAATGGACTATCATTCTAAGATTAGACTTAGATTTTCTTCCACAAAGGATTTCCTTGAAATAACATTTATTGCAACAAAATTTGAACTATAATATTCATTCAGTTGCATAACACCCAGCATTTGATTACAATTCCCTTATCTAATACAGTTGACGTTCCATATAGAATTCCGCCTGTTTTTTTAATAAATATTCTATCATGGGCTAGATCTCTGCTTAAGCTTATTATCTGATCATAGTTTTCGTTATAATTTGTCTGTGTAAGTCTCCACAGGACTGCTACCCCAGCTTTTCTTTGCTTGTTTTCAGATGAAAATGAACAGTGCAGAACCTCAGATAAATTGTATATTTGGATAAGGTCATCTTCCCTGCCTCCAGCCTGCTCTGTCCCCTTCCAAGGGCCCAGTGCTTTTTTTGGCCTCTAACTCTCCTCCTCCATCAAAATAGGATGGAGTTTGGTGTCATCATTTATAGCTAAAACTGATTCAGATATTTGTATTTTTAAACTCCTTATCTCTAATTATGGAATGAAAGGATTTACCAACTGTTAAAGTGATTTTTTTTTTCTTTGACGCAAAACAGAGTTAGTGGATGGGGAATACTAGGCTAGGTGCTAAGCTTAAAGGTAAAAAGATTTTAGTAATATTAGGGTGCTGTGTGTGTTGGGGGA